TAGATATTGCATGCATTAACATCAGAGAAATCACTGGAATAAAAGTGGGACTGGAGCAGTGAGTGTAATGGAAAGCTCAGAGCTCCTCAGCCTTGCTGGAGTATCACTAAATCTTATTTAAAATCAAAGCACTTTGATCATTTACAGTTCCCTAATGTCTTAATTTTTTTTAAAAAAGTCTTTACATATTAAATATGCAAAAATCAAAAGATGGTCCAATTTTATTTGAGAATATTCATAACTTAAGGGGTTTCTGTATTAAGCCACTCTACTTTCCCATTTCTTAATATTTCAATGCATTTTTGACTGTCTTCAACCTTGGGGTGGAAGGTGCTTTGGAGGTGAGGAAGCAATTTTGGTGTATGTACAAGAGGATCAAGTATTCATGCAGAGCACTGTGTTAAACTCAGTCATTGAATGAAAGGTTTGCTCAACGCCAATTGTTATATTCTGGGAGCACATCAAATAATCATGTTTTTTTTTTATTCTGAAGCAGTGTTGATCACAAAAAAAAGGTCTCAATTATTGATGGAATAGGAATTTGCTGAGAGTTCTGTTTTAGTAGTGTTGTACTTCCTTGATCTCAATCCACCTCCTCCAAACATCCCTCCCCTAGGCTGTCTCAAAAGCTCCTGACTGGAACTCTCAGTTCAGTGGCAGTATTGTAGTGGCCACCAAACAGATTTATCACAAATCTGCCTGGCAAACCTTTTTATTCTACTTGCAGATGGCAGCAAAACCAAATGAGCACCATTTTTGTCACAATTATTATGGCCGAGTGTTTTAATATGATTCACATCATTAAACTTGCAATCAAAAGGGAAGTGTGGCTTTTTAAAAATATTCCCTCATGCAGTCCCTTTAGGAATGTAGTGCATTGTGTCAAAGGAAAGGGAAGCTGTTGGAATAATAGTCTGGCACAAAACCTCTCTTCATCATTCAAGATCACGTTTGGCACCTCCAGCCCAGGGACTTCCATCTGTTCATTTTAGTGGGTAGGAACAGGCTGAGATGCTCAGTTTATTTCAATTGCAGGGAACACTGAATGTGGAAGGGCTCTTCTACAGACACCTGGGGTACAATTTCTCCCATTTTCAGTTGAGGTATAAGGGTAGGTGTATTAGATGACTAACATATCACCTCCACCAGAATTAACTCAACGATTCACACACCAATACTTCTTAAAAGCTAAGAGAGTTTAGGAGAGATTTTTGGTCATTACAGACTTTGACACTGGTGCCCCGGGCCAGAGGCTAGCAAACTGTGGGTCTAAAAGACTGTTGGTGGAGGTCTGCTCCTCAGTAAGTCCAGCATCAACAAGCCAAGCAAATTTTCTATCTTCTTGTTGCATATTGAAGGTCATAGGAAGAGAGATGGTCAGAGACAAGAACAAAAAGGTGGCTTTCAGTCATGATCCCAATTATCCCCAGATTGGGTAAATTAGAGCCTCGCCCCAAACTCAGCAGGCAGGCCAGCTAACATCCTTTTTGGAAAAAGTAGCCCACATTCTCACTCACTGGGAAGGAAGGTAGGTAATAAGGAAGACAGCGAGTTGAGATACTGGTGAAAAATTGAGAATATCCCCAGTGGACCTTCTCAGCCAGTATTTAACTGGTGAGGTGTGTATCTTACCAAAGCTGACTCACCCGAGTATTCCTCCTTCTTGATACTTGAAGCTATTGAGAGAGAGAGCGAAGAGATTATTCCACCCTTGGGAAATGGCGTAGCAATGGAGATATCAACTCATATCTAACAATTTCTTTACATTGACGTCCTGAACTCAATCTTGTAAAGATCCGTGTATTTCCCCACAGCGGATGGGACGGTGGGTTAGTGAGGGGTGGGCATTCTGGGCTGCTGCCCTGAACTTTCAAGAGCCAAAAAGTGTAAACAGCTAAAGCACAATCATCAATTTTCAACACTCTAGAGTTCCCTCCCTAACTCTCCTGAGTTTCCACCTCACAGAAATTTACAGAATGAAAGGAGGCCATTTAGCCCATTGTGTATGCCAGCCACCAAGTAACCATCCAAACTAAACCCTCTTACTTGTTCTTGGTGCAAAAATATATTGTAGGTTATAGCAATTCAAGTGCATATCCAAGTACCTTTTAAGTGTTAGAAAGATTTCTGGCTCTACCACCTTTTAAGGCAGCAGGTCCAGATTTCACCACCCCTTGCAATTAAAACATTTCCTTTTGAATCATAGAGTCATAGAGTAATACAAATGGAAACAGGCCCTTCAGCCCAAACTGCTCCATGCTGCCCACTCAGCTAGTTCCAATTTCTCACATTTGGTCCATATCCCTCTAAACCCTTCCCATCCGTGTACCTATCCAAATATTTTGTTTTAAAAAAATGCAGCTATTGTACCTACCTCAACCACTTTCTGGTAGCCCATTCCATATACCCACCACTCTCTGCATGAAGAAGTTGCCCCTCAGGTCCTTCTTAAATCTTTCCCCTCTCAGCTTAAAATCTATGCCCTCTAGTTTTCAATTCCCCACCTCTGGGGAAAAAAAGACATACGCAGTCATCCTATCTATGCCCCTCATGATTTTATACACCTCAATAAAGGTCACCCATCATTCTCCTACATTCCAAGAAATAAAGTCCTCTCCTGGCCATCTCTCCCTATATCTCAGGCCTACTAGGCCTGGCAACATCCTCGTAAATCTCCTTTGCACACTTTCCAGTTTAACTAGGTCTTGCCTATAAGAGGGTGACCAAAACTGTATACAATACTCCAAGTGCAGCCTCACCAACAACTAATACAACTGTAACATAACGTCCCAACTCCTATACTCAATGCCTCAACCAATGAAGGCCAGCATGCTAAATGCCTTCTTCACCACCCTGTCTACCCATGAAACCGCTTTCAATAAACTTTGTACTTGTTCTCATAGGTTCCTCTGTTCCACAACACTCTTCCGGACCTTGCCATTTACTGTACAAGTCCTACCTTGGTTCGACTTTCAAAAGTGCAACACCTCACACTTATCTGTATTGAATTGCATTCGTCAATGCTCAGCCCACTTCCCCATCTGATCAAGATCCCTGTACCTTGGATAACCTTCCTCGCTATCAACGATACCTCCTAATTTTGTATCTTCCATAAACTCACTAATCATGCCTTGTACATTCACATCCAGATCATTTATGTAAATAACAAAATAACAAAGGTCCCAGCACCGACCCCTGTGGCACACCACTAGTCACAAGCCTCCAGTATGAGAAACAACCTTCAACCATCATCCTCTACTTCCTACCATTGAACCAATTTTGAATCCAATTAGCTAGCTCTCCCTGGATCCCACGAGACCTAACCTTCATGACTAGCCTGCCGAGTGGGATCTTGTTAAAGGCCTTACTGAAATTTAGACAATATCCACTGCCCTACACTCATCGCTCTCCCCCAAGCCCTGTATATCATACCCTATATCTATCTCTGCTGTTTGTGGACCCTTGAAACATGGGGTAAAAGGCCTTCCTATTGTCTTGGAATCCTTTATAATTTTATAAATCTTGAATCTCTTTCAGGATATTTCTTAAAACCCATCTCTTAACCAAGCTTTTCCCTCCCCAGATATCTGATTATTTAGCTTGGTGTCTTTATTATCCCCCTATTGAAAATCCTGTTAAAATCTGTGTGTAATTTTACAAAATTCAAAGGTTTTTGAGTCAGTTTCAGAGCCTTTTAAATGTGTAAGGCTTCAGAAAAGATTTACAAGGATTTGTTTTTTAAAATTTATTCGTGGAATGAGGGCATCGCTGGCTGGGCAGCATTTATTACCCATCCCTAATTGTCCAGAGGGCAGTTCAGAGTCAACCACATTGCTCTGGGTATGGAGTCACATGTAGGCCAGACTAGGTAAGGATGGCAGTTTCCTTCCCTAAAATGACATTAGTGAACCAGATGGGTTTTTCCCAACAATTGGCAATGAATTCGCAGTCATCATTAACTCTTAATTCCAGATATTTATTGAATTTAAATTCCACCATCTACCTTGGCGGGATTTGAACCTGGGTCCCCAGAACATTATCTGAGCCTCTGGATTATCAGTCCAGCGATAATACCACTCAGCCATCACCTCCCCATGTTGTCAAGGTTGGAGGGTTTGAGCTCTAGGGAGAGGCTGAATAGGCTGGGGCTATTTTCCCTGGAAAAGCAGATGCTGACAGGTGACCTAATAGGACGTTTATAACATCATGAGGGGCATGGATAGAGCAAAAAAGTCAAGATCAAAGTCAAGGGTAGGGGAGTCCAGAACTAGAGAGAACATAGGTTTAAAGGAGAGAGAGAGGAAAAATATAAAAAGGGACCTCAGGGGCAATATTTCCCCACAGAGGGTGATGCATGTATGGAATGAACTACCAGAGGAAGTGGTGGAGACCGGTACAATTACAACATTTAAAAGGCAACTGGATGGATATGAATAGGAAGGGTTTACAGGGATATGGGCCAAATGCTGGTAAATGGGACTATCTGGTTGGCATGGATAAGTTGGACCGAAGGGTCTGTTTCTGTGCTATACATCTCTATGAATCTATGACCACACGCAGTGGCAGCGATGTGAAATTCAATGCTGCGCCTGAAACATTTTAGTTGAAACTTTACAAAGATGATATGTAAACACTAGTATTATTGATACAATTGAACTGGGGAAAATACACATTTTCTTGGGAGTGGTGATTTTGCCAAATCATGTAAACTAATTTCTATGGTTTCAGCTGATGAGAAGAAGTTCTCCTTTACTTAGTTGTTCAATTTTACTTGAAGTGAAATTCAAGTCATTAAGTGAGAATTCTGCCTGGGAGGAGTATTAATATTGACAGGCAACATAATTCAGAGAACCCTCAAGAACGTGGAGGCAGTAGGCAAAGAATGGAAGTCTTGCAGAATCTTGCAAAGGAAGCTTGGTTTTAATTAAACTGGAACTTTACTCTACGTTTAAACACCCACCATGTCCGACATTGAACTTATAACGGGTTTTGCAGGCCTACAAAACGACACTTAGAAAGGATACATTAACGGATTTGAATGAAGTGACATCTTCCATGGAATGCAGCTCTCCACATTCAGACTTGATGCGAGAAAGACAGAGATTCTCTGCTGCACTTTGACCCAAGCGTGGGTATGGTTGATCTGCCGTATGATGCGAGATAACCTTTGGTCTCAGTTTGCCTGCATCCCATGAAATGGGCGTTGATTCAGAATATGAAGTATCCTTTGCAGTAGCTGACAGGCAATGTCTTATGTCATTGTGCACACCGTATCTCAATACAGGTTCAGGCAATTCAGTCAAAGGCATTTGCGAGCCTAGCGCTAATGATAAAGGTGTCTCGGTATTAGGCATTTGGCAAGATTGTTTAATAACAGAGTTACCAATGCTAGATTGGTTCTGGAAGGATTTTCTCACTACTAATGGTATTGCTTCTGTCTGATCCTGAATGTCATAGATAGGAGGGTTTTGAGAATGGTCATGACATCTGTGTATCATCATTGAATCTGGAGAGCAGCGAAGCCCATGACTGGCCATCCTCAAGTTTGTGTTCTCATTAGGCAGAGAGGTTGGCAAGTTTTGAAATGCTTGGGAAGAGATGTTTGAAGGTTTCAGAGAGAACAGCTGCACTGCTGAATCTACAATATGAACCACTGCATTGGTTAATTCATATTTAAGGGCCTCTGCAAGATAGCCACCCTTGACAAGAGAGAACGAAAAGTGTGTATGATTGTTGAATTTCCTGTTTACATCATGTTTGTTTGCATATTTTTGCATTGTCAGTTCTTCTTCTTGGCCAAACGATTGAGCATAGTCATAACCTTGATCCATTTCTGAAAGGCATCTTTCTGGAGTATTTTCTCCATTCTCTCCATTGCAATCAGGGCCACCCACGTGGAAACTAGAATCAGAGGTGTCCTCCTGTTCAGACTCACTGGCATCGTACATCTGGAAAAACTTTTCTTGAAGTTCAAGGAGTTTTCCCTGCATGTCCTGTAGCTGCTGCTTCAATTTATGACACTCCTCTCTCTTGTTATTCTTCAGGGGTGCAGTTAATTTGGGAAGTTTCCAGAGATTCTCCTTATGCTTTTGCTGCTGTTGAGGAAGTCTCTGCTTCCGTTTATTCTCTTTGTATCGGTCTGCCAGACTTCCAGGTTGTTGGCTACAGTCCCTCTCAAGCTCACTGTTGAGGAGAATGGAGTTTGGAGAACTGCTCATTCCTTGGATGATGTTCTCTACTCTTGCCCTCTTTGCTTGCAAGTGTTTGTCGAGCATTCGATCCCCTTCAATGGTTTTTGAAGTGTGGTACTGACTGAAAGGCGAGCCAAGGTCCTGTACACTATCTTTGGAGCAGTCACTGCTTCTATCCTCCTGAAACGATTCTGAAGTGGAATGAGACAGATTCCTTGATGAGAAGTCAAAGTCTTGAGCTGTTAAATTATTTTTCTTTGTAGCTTGGTCCAGAAAATGAGAAATGATGGCCCTGCTGGAATAGGAGGACACAGACTCTTCAAAGAAATTTCTTTTCAGGTGCGTGGGGAGCTGATTTGTTTTGTCTCCTTCTACATAACAGCTGCTGGAACTTTGCATTTCCTGCTCGGATATGTTGAGATTCATTGTATAGATCAAGGGTGCTTGGACTCAGGAATCAAAACATTCCTGAGTTTTGTGGCAAAATTTGAAGTTAAAAGAAGGTATCAAGTCCAGTATTCAGGCAATCTGATTGACTCAAAATACTACCGACGCATCTTTTGCAAAGCAGCAAGAGGTCTAGTCATCTGGATAGAAAAAGAAAAAAAGAGTAGGGTTACTTTTCCCGAAAATGTACTTTAAGTCACATACAACGTCAGAACAAACCATTTAGCTCACTCAATCAATATATCCTGCTATTCCTTTCAGTCTCATGTGCTTATCAAGCTTCCTCTTAAATAAGTCTATACCAATTGCCTCAACTACTCCGCATTGTAATGTAGTCCACACTCTCATACTTCTGAGTTAAGAAGTTTATCTTGAATTGCTTATTGGGTTTATTACTGATTGGTTTACAAAGGACATCATGATTTGATTTCATGGCCCCATCCCCACTCAACTCCAAGTTTTCCTTTCTACATCAAACCCTTTTATCTTAAAAAAGAGCCTATCATGTCCCCCCTAAGCCCTTTGGTTTGTAGACTAGAGGCCCTGCCTATTCAGTCTCTCAATTATTACATGTTCACTGTTTTGGCATCATCCTTGTGAATACTTTCCATTCATTCTTGTACAGTTAAAAATCATTTTAGATATTTTCGCATTGGTAACCCCAAATCCTTCAGCTCCTTTACTCCATTTGTACTTCTACTATTGAGGCCATATGTAGCATTCTTTCTCTAAGAAAAACGCACAACCTCACACTTAGCCATACTGAAGTTCATTTGCCAATTACATGCTTATTCTGCAGGTTTATTGGTGTCCTTTTTCTTTATAAAGCTAACTTGTTCTCTCTGTGTGGCTGAGATGGGGCAAGTTCTAAATATGCAAGAACAAACACAGATATGTACATCTAGGAACCAATCACAACCTCACATTCACCTCCACACCATCTAAATAGACAGCAGGAATCCACAAATTCAAATACCAAGTCTCCCTCTGCAGTGACGATAGATCGAAAGATCCCTTCCTCATCGATTCTGCCAGATCTATCCGGCTCATTGTGGTCCTGTTAAACCCAAGGACATTCCTCCACTGGCAGCCCCCAGCCACTTTTTTTTTCAATGCCCCATTTCCATTCAGTATTTGCGATCTTGTTCTCTGCTTTGATCCAGAGTGGAGCTTTTGGCCACATATATCAATACCATCACTGAGATCATTTGCTTTCAACAGTGATTGATTCTGCTCTGTCTCAGCTTATCTGCTGTTGAAGTCTTCACCTGTGCCTTTCTTACTTCCTTACTTGGCAAATCAGGCCATGTGGCCAGTATCCCACAAAATACTCAATGAACTCAGTCATCCCAAACTCTACTTTCATGTCCTAATTTTCATCATGTTCACTTATACTCCTCACTGACCAAAATTGAGTCCTAGTTAAATCAATAACTTGATTTTTAAAATTTTCACCCTTGTCTTGAAATCTTTCCATGGGCTGACCCTTCTTTTCTCTGCATTAGTGATACAACCTACTGAGATGTATGCACTACTCAAAATCTGGTCTCGTGTATTTTTGATTTTAAATACTCCTCCATTTGGGCTACCGTGTCTTTAGCTGCCAACAGCCTAAGTTCTGGATTTCCCTATTACCTGTTCTGTCTCTTCCTTCCAGGGCACACCTTACAATTTACAATTTTGACCAAGCGCTTGGTCATCCAAACAATTATCTCCTCAGGTGAATTGGTGTCAAATTTAGTTTAGTAACACACATGAACTCCTTGGGATGTTTTAATTCCATTGGAGGTATTATATAACTACAAATTGTTGTTGCTACCAAAGTATAGGATTATGCCCATTTTTAGCAAGGCACAGGGCTGCCTTCATTCTCACTCCCTTATAAAACTGACCCCTAATTTTATACTACTTGCAAATCAACTTGCTCTAAATATCAAACTGGTATTTTTAGTTGAAAATTTAAGTAACATTAAATGGAGAAAGACTCTCACTTCATGCTATTCTTTCCATCTTCAACCAGACAAACATACATATGAAAATGTGACTCTCTCCTTTGTAAAACACAGTCTCAATATTATTTCACCCCAATGAACCTTTTGAGATGTATATTAAGTATATTTGACTTAACTCTGCAATGCCTCTCCATCTCAGAGTAACTTTTGTCTTTCAGACACTCCTTAAAACCTACTTCTTTGATCAAGCTTTGGTAACTCCGTGCCTTTATAATTAATAATGCCCTAATATCTTGTTTCTCAATTCAGATTCAAATTTTGTTTTATAATGCCTCTGTGGGTCTCCATTCATTAGGATAAAGATAATTGTTGCATCTTCTTTCACAAAGTTAGCTGGAAGAAAGATACTGAAGAGAAGTTCTGGAGGTTAATGAAAAATATGCCATCAGTACAGGTGACTGACTGGTACTGGTTTGTGTTATTGTGGTCAGACTGTATAATCCAAACTAAGCTCAAAGACAGTTCTGGGCAAAAATATCAAGTTCCAACCTCTGGCTTTTGGGAAGGGCTAACATTTTCAAATATAATCATAAATATGTTCATGTTATTGCAGAAATATGATATTTTATAATTTTTTTACTTCTTTGAATCCTCTACTTTGGTAATTAAAATTTAATTCTGGAGAAAAAAAAAACGGCAATTCAAAAAACAGAAATCAGAAGACAATTGAGTGATTTGTTGGAACCTAATAGCTAAGTTGTACAATTGCAGTCATAGATTTACATTATGAAAGCTAGTTATAAATGTGAGTATAGAAATTTTGCAGTGGGAATTGTTAGAAACTGTGACAAAACATGATAGAGGAGAATGACAAAATAGAAAATGCTACAAATATTTACTGTATCTGTGGAGAGAGAAATACAGAACAATTCAGGTTCATGATCTTTCATCAGATAGAGGTAGTGGTGCAAATCAGGAGATGTCTGAAAGATGGAACAAAGGAATGAAAGGGAGGGAAAGGTGGAGGGAGTCATGAGATAGGGTAGAGTGAGGGACTAAATGACATTTCAGTCAGGATCTATTTCTTACTTCATCACAGAATCAGTTTCCCTATGCTGCACACCTGACCAAGCGGACAGTTAATCTCCTCTGGAACTCTTCAATCATAAGCTGTTCCCTCTCACATGCAGCAGGGAGAATTAGCTCAAATAATAGGTGAACACACCCTCTGATATTCTTTCAGAGATAGTAGGAACTGCAAATGCTGGAGAATCTGAGACAACAAGGTGTAGGACTG